TATTGCTTAGAATTATTTCTCCATGGAATGTTTCTTTCCTGAAAGCCTTTCCTTCAGTATAAGGAACCACTACCCTCTTCATTTTATTTAATCTTGTCTTGAATGAAAAGCTGACCAGTTTATTACTAGCTATGTGGTGATGTAGGGTTAAAAAAAAACCAAAACAACCAACCATAAAAACCCCACCAAACAAAACAACAAAACCTAAAGAACCTGTCAAGTGTTTCCACATCTTTCCCACTTATTTTTATATATACCTATCTTTTTTTTTTTTTCTCCTGACTCCACTTGGAACTCTTTAGAGCATAATTCTATAACCTCATCTAAAATTTGCTCGGTGGTAGTGTATTTATTCTATATTTAATCAGTGCCTTGGCTTCATCCATAATTTAAAAATATGAAGAATAAAAATCCTCTTTTCTACGAAAGGGATTTAGAATCTTTGAGATTTATAAAGCACTTTGAGATGGTTTTGCATAAAAAGGTGCCACTATATATTACATGCATTTAAAGTGGTTTAATACTCTACTCCAAACAGAAGAGAAGGTTTTGTATTCTCAATATCTATTTTGCACATAAAATGAAATATATTTTGGAATAAACAAAACTATTCAATGTAAAGGGATTTGAAAGTACTAGATGGTATAGATTTTACAGCAGCTTTTCAACCAAGCAGGAGTACCTGATACCAGAAAACAATTTTTAGAGGATCTGGAAAAATGGTGCAGACATGCATCTGTCATGATACATCGTTTTTCCATGACAGGGTGAAAATATTAAGTAATTTATAAAAATATATTAATATGTTCCAAACATACTAATGATAAAGCTAAGCCATTGTTCTGGTTTAACACAAATAAAAACACAGAAAATAATTTTTGATCTGCTTTAAATTGAACAGAAGACTGATCACTTTTAAAGTGAGAAACAAACACTTCTTGAACACAAGAATTGCAAAGCTTAAATAATTCAGCAGAGCCATTCACATACATTCATGTATTATGAATGTTCAGTTATAGTTTATTCCTTACACACACAGCTTTATGCTAATAAATTTAATGCCTTTTTTTGTTTTAAAGGATTTAAGAGCTGAAGTAGAAACAGCTTATACCTTGTTAGAATGATGGTTTTCATTTGTCTGCTTTGGTCATGATACTTAAGCCACAGCAGTTACTACTTTGTATTTGTTCCTCTGCCATCATAATTTACAATTTAAAGTTTTAGATGCTGTAGGAGGGCTTGTCTGTGAAGAATGGAGGAAAACAGTTAGGGTGATTAACTCTAGAAGCAACTTCTCCATCTTCTGATCTCCTTTAATATTGGTGGTACATACTTTTCCTACAAAATACACACAGAACCGTACCTTTGAATGCCAAGATACTATGACTCAGAAGAGAACAATTCTGACCAAGCAATTGATTATGAGAACATGAAATAGGTTTCACTAGGATAAATAAAATATCCTGCACTATATAAACTTTAATAGCTGAGAGCAAACGTGAGGCTAACATCCAAATAAATAACTGCCAATGCTAACTTCATTTCAAATTGTTTATGCCCAAATGCAGGGCTTCGTCTCGGAGATGCTGAAATCATTCAAGCAGCTTCAGCTACTCAATACCACTCTAACAATAAGGCAGCCCAGAAATTGCTGCTTCTAATCATTTCCCTAATCATTTGGCTGGAACAGGTCTTCCTACTTGGCTCAGAATTAAGTTTGCAGGAGCTTAGAAAACAGAATATACTACGTAACACCAAGTTGGGCAGGACTGTTGACCTGCTTAAGGGCAGGAAGGCTCTACAGAGGGATCTAGACAGGCTGGATCGATGGGCCAAGGCCAGCTGTGTGAGGTTCAACAAGGCCAAGTGCTGGGCCCTGCATTTTGGTTACAACAACCCCCGGCAATACTACAGGCTTGGGGAAGAGTGGCTGGAAACCTGCCTGGTGGTAAAGGACCTGAGGGTGTCGGTCAACAGCCAGCTAAGACTACCAATGACATCTTGGCTTGTATCAGAAACAATGTGGCCAGCAGGACTAGGGAAGTGATCATCCCTTTGTACTCTGCGCTGGTGAGGCCACACCTCAAATACTGTGTTCAGTTTTGGGCCCCTCACTACAAGAAAGACATTGAGGTGCTGGAGAGTGTCCAGAGAAGGGCAATGAAGCTGGTGAAGGACCAGAACAAGTCTTATCAGGAGTGGCTGAGGAAACAGGGCTTGTTTAGTCTGGAGAGGAGGAGACTGAGGGGAGGCATGATCACTCTTTTACAAGTACCTGAAAGGAGGTTGTGGCAAGGTGGGGGTAGGCCTCTTCTCCCAAGTAACCAGTGATAGGACAAGAGGAAATGACCTCAAGTTCCACCAAGGGAGGTTTAGACTGGATATTAGGAAAAATTTCTTTACCGAAAGGGTTGTCAGGCACTGAAAAAGGCTGCCCAAGGAAGTGGTTGAGTCACCACCCCTGGAAGTATTAAAAGATGTGTAGATGTGGTGCTTAGGGACATGGTTTAGTGATGGACTTGGTAGTGCCAGGTTAACGGTTGGACTCAGTAATCTTAAAGGTCTTTTCCAACCTAAACGATTCTATGATTCTATGATTACAGTCACACCATCATACTCTTTTCAGTATAGCTCAGTCCATCTTATCTGGGGACTCCTTTAAGGCAACTTCTCCCCTTACACTCAAGAACTTGAACATGGCAAACAATGTTTTTATACACTGGGATGTGGTAAGATGACTCTCCAGATCCCATAATTGCACGTGAGACTCTTTTGGAAGATTTCTGCTTTCAAGAGATGACCATGAAAGAAAGCTAGCCATGGGGAGTTCTTGCTTACCTGAATTGTTCCCCTATCCCTTACCAAGGTATACACAAGATGACACATACTAGCTAGGGAGACCTCAGCAAAGATTGTATAGTACTCACCAACATGAATCAAAACAGGCTTGAGCTGCCCCTAACTAAAGGTAAATACAGCTGACAGTAGAATTAACTTAAAATCTCCTAAATAATTACAGATGAACTTGCACATCAGATAAAAGTAATACTAGGGTTACATGCAGAATAGTCTGGACACATGGAGCACGCAAGGAAGAATTCAGTACTGACATGCACAAAGCCTGTTGTAGAGTTAGTACTCTACAATGCCATGTCCTGATAATTACTAACACTAGTGTAAAGCTTTAGACTTCAAAGGCCATGGCAGATTTTGGATTTATGCAGGTGAGAGCAAAATCCGGCCCACTAACATTAAGTTGCATGACATTCTTCTTACCAAAGGACAACAGACACTGCGTACTCATGTACACTTGATGCTAAAAACAGATATTACTTTAACAACCCTCTGTTAAATGCTAAATGAGTAATTTTTTTTTTTCTCTGATAGCGTCACAGAAAGAGTAAAGTGGGAGTTCAGAGAATACTTTGCTTGGAAATCTCATTATAAAAAAATCAACAACATAAGCCTGCCCTCATGTTAGTGACAAAACGACTTGAACCTGAGTTCTTCAGCTTGACATGATTTAAAATACAGATTGCAATTATATTGAGAAGACTGCTGAATGTTCTTATGACAAGTTGATTGTAGAAGTTACATATTTTCCTTCCCTTGAGGGGTTAGAAAAAGAAAGATAGCAATGATTTTAATTGTCTACTTGATAGTCAATCACTACCTCTGAATTTGTCATATTTCATCCAAGAATGTTATAGTAAAATTTTTAGGGAGGTCATTTGCCTCCATGTATAAAAACCATAATAGGAACGGAAGTTCATAAAGGACTTAATACTGTAAAGCCAACAAGTCGTTATTCCCATAAGCGGAATGCAAATAGTGTTAATGCAACTTGAGATTTGCAGGCTCAGACTTCATACTACATTCATATAAAGCAGGCTCCACTTTACAACAATAATCCTTGAAGATTGTTGTCATAAATAAGTACTACAGTATCTAATCTTTTGCAAAAATTAAAAGATTTAAGTTTAAAATGTTCTTTTGTTCCAATAACCATAATAGCAGAAATACACTTTCCCAGAAGGTTACTAGAATCTGTTGCTTTTCTCAAACCACATACTGCATTTGAGTAATGAACTACTACACTCTTAAAAGATAACAGTGATAGTACACTGAAGAAAAGCAACTACTCTTTTAGACACAACTGGAACTTATTTGTTCATTGCATGCCACTTACATTACTGCTATTTTTTTGATGCATAAAAATATCAAGATCATTAAGTGTCAGCTATTAAAACAAATCACTGAACAGTATTTGTTAATTTAGGACTGTGTTTAATTTCAAATAGAAAACATGCTTTTAAAATAAATTATTCACTAACAGGAACCCAGTATCATGAAATCAAAGCAAAAATCAAGTATTGTACATTTTTAATACTGTACATATATTATATATTGTTTTCTCATATTTTGGGTATTCATTTCTAGATTGAAAATCATTAGATTGTTTCCTTGATAAACTGAAACTTTAAAAGCCAATATACCTGTGAAAGCAATTTGCATTACTTTAATTAAGAACAGACAAGTGAATACAACATATGTACAGATCTGTGGAATTAAATCTATAAACAACATACATTAAACCAAACTGTCCCTGCATATTTAACTACAGATCTATTTTGGCAATGTGGAGGTATATCTTTTATCCTGTTGCAAGTCCTAACATGTAAGTAGGAAGCTTCAATATTTGCATTCTTAATGAAAGGAGCAAATGTTAACCGAAGAGCAACTGGATTTTCAAAAAATTTGCATCACGACAAACAAGTAGTACAGTAAAGTTAGTAAGCATTTTTAATAGCATTCACATTTTTAAAAAGTCTCTGAACTGGACCTGTACATCACTTTTATTGACAGAACATAAATATAAGAAAAAGATCCCTAAAAAGACCAGAATTTTTCCCAAACATAAAGTGCTAAGATGTGTACGGTAGTAAGAAGTTGTGGGGTTTTTTTTTGCCTTGATTGAGCAAAGAGAGGTTAACACAAAGGTTAACCACAAATTCAACTGAAATCTTTTAAAAATACCATGTGTTCTTGAGCTTCAGCATTCAGATGTTTTAGAAGATTCAGATTGCTCTTCTAAATTCACTTGCAGTTCATTTTGACATTCTGGTGTCTCACCTTTGACAGCTAAATGGATAACTTTTAGCCATTTCTGTTTTAGTTCCTCATTGTCCGCAGCAAAGCTGTGCACAGACTTAGACTGGGTCAGTTTGAAGCTGTGCGGGAGGTCAGCACTTCTTGGAGTGTCATCTACTGTATAGCCCAGAAGTGGAATTGTAGCCAGAGCTTTAACATCCTAAGAAGAAGTAGAAGTTCTTGATTATGAACAGCCAACTAATCTGCCCACTACCTCTCATTTACTATACAGGCTGGTGAAAACACTTGGGTCTTTCCTCCATTCCCAAGCTATTTGACTTCTCTTCCTCAGATGTCAGTGACAATAATTACTAAAATCTTTTCCTTTTTCTCTGTACATACCTGTGGAGCACCATACATGTACAGCACAAGAGCTTCCTGTTTAGGTATAACACACCACGCTTTCTGCCAGGGCTTTGATTTTTCCATGTACTGAAGAAAGCTACAAATGACACTATTTCCAGAGACTTCTGCAGATTCAATCTAGGAGATAGTATCAAGTATAAAAAGGAAAATAAACTTTCTTTAAATAAAGACTAAAAACATACAGAACAGAAAAGTAGAAATTCATCACCATTCATATCAAATCTCGGATAGCATCTGCAAAAGAGCTGGAGCAAATACCCAAGGAAGATCGTGAAGGACTGGATTTATGAAGAATATTTCTGTATTACATACAATCACAAGGTGTTCTCCCTTAACATGTGTAATCTGCTCCTTCTTTCATCAGTAATTTTGGATTATACACTTCTAGATCACTCGAAATTTCATTTTGCCACCACAGTTAGCCTCTTTCTGTATCTTAGTATCTACAACAATGTCTAATTTCTAAAATAACATCATATTAGGCACTGAAGTGCTACTAACTGTCCAATCTGACAACTACTCTATTTTGGCAGTCAAAATATTATGACAGGATCAGATGCAAACACATTTCGAGGAATAACAAAAGAATGCAAGTACTAATCCTAGAGAAAAGATTAGGTGGATTGCTTAAAATCTGAAGACAGAGTGACATGCTACTCGGGTTAAATAGTGATCCTGAGAAGAACAGGAAGAACACAAAATGACTATGTGTTAAAATTTCCTTGCATCAATTTTTTTCCTCTCCCAATAGTGATGCTGTCTGGATGCTGCAACATGGTACAAATCACTCCATTGTCATAACTTCCAGCATGCAGACGCACATTTCTAAGAGACTCTATAGCTCTTTCAGCTACCTTAAAAAAGCCATCATGCCAAGAAACAGCAGTCTCTTGACTATAAGGTAAGCTAGTGGAGTTCTGTGCTCCTTACTCTTTCTCATTTAAGAGAGTATAGCCAAGTGTAGTCAAGCCAACATGGATTAAGAACTGTATATGGAATTACAATCTGTATCTCATTTTTGCCTTCTTTCTCTGTTGGTATTTAGCTCAAAGGTCAATCCTTCTCTACTACATCCCAAGATAAATATATTGTCTTGACAAAGTTAGGGTGATATTTCTCTAATGTATGTCAGGCATTTTAAAAGGGTCTATAAAGGGGAAATTAAGAAATGTGAAGGTTAATTGCAATTCTAAGATGCCTATTTCTTCCCCGATCATAAGAGAAACATAGCTCTTTATTGTCTGATTGAGCCCTTGAATTTTCAGATGCCAAAAACTGAGAGCAACTTGATGACTTCAGGGTACATTGTATACACTGATCAAAAGACTATCTTACTATTCAGACTCTGAATAGCAAAATTCTCCCCCATTCCCCTCTCCTCCATCCCCAGTTCTTTCAGTTTGGGTATGTGTTTCCAAGAATTATTGTAGTAGCAGTGGTTTTTGTTGCTACAACAGCTTAAGTGCAGAAGAAGAAAACTGAAGATTTATACGGAAAGGTAATGTTCTACCACATCAGCTGATGTAACTGGAAAGAAGCAAACAAGCTCTAAGGTTCATAATTCCCCCTTTAAAAAAAAGTTGTAAGAAACCAAGTAGTATTGTGAAAGATGAATGGTGAAAACCAAAGTCTATTGGATGGGATAAATTTGGTCCACGTACTTTTTATTTCTCAAACAGAAAATAGCCCTGAAAGAATGCTACCATCTTTCACCTACTGATGAGCTGAAACTGTTCAACTATGCACATACAGTATTTTTAAGTGACATACCTCCAAGATGCCTTTCTTCTTCTTTTCCTCACTGTCCGTACAACCAATTATAACATGATAGCAGTCCTTACAGACTTTATTCAATTTATTGCCATCATATTCAAGATGTGCCTTGTAATCAGAACATTTCCAGCAAACCACCTTAGAAACAAAAAAGATAACATACATATGAAATTTAAGTATTTATAAAACTTTATGAAAATAAAAATTAGTATTATCTACTTCGTAATATAGTGTTTAATTATACAGACCAAGAAAGATAATGCCTTTATGACATGTCCATAATAACTTAACTGAAAATAATGATTTTCCAAATTTGTGCCACTGCTTCTTAACTAGAAATGCTTTTTACTATTTACCTGGTGGAACTTGGGACTTTGCATAAAATCACATTAGGTTTTCAGTTATATCTGTAGGTTAAAGCTAGGAATAGAATCAGAATATAGCACAAGCCATGCTGCAGGAAGAAAATACTCCAGTTTCTTTAGATGCCAACCTGAAAAGGTACATTTACCCTTTTGCTTTCTGCATAACCTCAGAAATGCACAACTGACAGGCACTTTTAATGATAAAAAAAGTTTAATAAAATCAGAAATGGCTAATTTTTAACCTGCTAATAAATATTAAATTTACAGTTTTAGAAGCTGTTCATAAGTATACAGAATAAATAAGCCAATATCAGAATGATTTTTCTTTTTTTTTTCTCTCTCTCTCTAACTGAAATGCGAGAGAGATCTGAGAGAAGTTCTTTCATTAGAAATGTTTTTCCACAGAAATGTTCTTTCAGGTCAAAAAGATGTCCTGCATAAAAAATATGAGTGTAGTTATTTCAAGAAAGAAAGGTAGACAAATGAACTTGAACCACTCAAACACCTGAACAAAACTTCGTTGTGGACCAGGGCTCTGCAGTACTAATCTAAATCACTACCTTCAACTAGTATCTCTAGAGTATACTAGTTAAATATTCCCAATTAATCACTACTGGAAAGACACCATCACTGACCCAAATTAATTCCCATGAAAAAATGTTTTAAAATTAAAGTGCAAGGAGATGTGATAGAACTACAACAGAAGGAAGTAGTCAGGAGCCTAAACAAAAGAGGGAATAAAAAGGAAGGGTGTGATTTTAAGATTAACAGAGGAGTTTTAAGACTGAATGATCTGGGAAAAAAACCCAGATGACAGCTGTATAATCAATAATTCAGAGCTTCTGGAAAAGCCTCTAGTGTCCTGCAAAGCACAAAAGCAGCATTTTGAATGCAGTAAGCCTTCATACCATATAAAAATATTAGAAAGAAATCATACAAGATAACGCGTAAGACAAATACTAAACATGGGCTTGCACTACCATCTGCTGGAGAAAGGCACAGCTGCTGGATGGCAAGAAAAGAAAGCACAGTATTTTTGTTCTTTTGTTACCTTCTGAAAACTCTCAAGTCATACCACTATTTCATGGTTGCTTTAAAGCGACATATGTTACCGTAGCATCACACATGGAAAGCAGCAGTAATAGTCTCTCCCCATCCTAACCTTCTCTCCTTCCCTGATGCTTCGCGCATGTTTGCGCAGTTCAAGCTGTTCACACTGAACCCAGCTGGGAACGGCTCCAAGTTAACCCAATGGAAAACTGCGGGGCTTCATGACCTTCTTGTGAAGAGGAGAGAGGAGGTAGCCGAATGGGAAGAGGAGGCAGCCAGTGCTGCCAGGGATAACGCTGGTTTATGTCAGTTTAATACGGTCTTGAAAGTGTTGAGATCAGTGGAGACCACTCAGAAGTAACAGCATAGTATGTCCAGGGGCTTGGGACACTTTACATAAATGCGCATCTTCCACTGCTCCAAATTACTTCCACATTTACCATGTCAACTAAAGCAGACAGAGGATCCTTTGTGGTATGCTATACACAGCTTCTCCTTTCAGCCACAAGCACAGCAACAAACTCTGCAGCATAACAAGCAGCCACCAGAAGCCAAGTAGGTGCTTAGACCCATTCCCAATTGTAGCTCAGACCCATTCCCCCATTGTAGCTCACCAGCTACAGCAGCCAGGGCTTTGCACTTACATGTCCACATGCTCGACAGTGGTGCCTTCTCCTTGTCAGTGCATTAAAGGGCTCCTTGCATTTCATGCACATGGTTACTTCGTTGTCTCGTATCCACCTCGGTGCTCTCTTTCCAAGCTCAGCGTTCTGAAGGGGGGCAGGAGGAGGATGAGAGAATAAAAAAAAAACAAACCAGTATAAAAAGTTGCACAGTACTTTAAATAAAGAAAATAATTATTCTCTTCCTCTGGAAAGGAAATGGCAAAACACAGCTCAAGATGAATTTTGAAATCTATACAAGAAATAACAAAGAACCCAGTCAAAAATCATGCTGCATCACTGAAAGGGTACTGTGTTACATGTTTCAAGAAAAAAAAGAAAGAGGCTTGTTTATAAGATTTGGCATTGTGAAGAAAAACAATTACCAAGAAGATAACTATGTTGCAATTCCTCTGCTCTAAGAATGATGGGCTTAAAAACAAAGTTTCTGCCGAACTTTTTCCAGCTATTAAAGAACAAGATAGGTACTAAGAAGGTTACAAAGGAATAACAGCAACTTACAGAAACCTCAACAGGCATGTCTTCATATTCTTTAGCAATAGCGTTTCTAAAAGTTTCATTCCTCTGCTGAAAAGCTTCTATAGTATTCTGAAGTGCCTAAGGAAACAGTGGATAAATTCCTCAAACATATTACATTTAAAATGGACTCTCTGCATTCTGACCAGTTATTGATTAGCAGAGGGAAGCTACAGCCAGAAAATGTGAATATCACTTTTTTGATTGCTTCAGTGAAAAAGTGTTTAGAAAATAAAGAATGTAGATTAAATTACCTTTATCCATTCTTCCTTATCTTGTTCAGAACTAAAAGAAATATTTGACACATTAGTCCAAAACTAGTTCAGAAAACATTATTTCACCATCAACAACAACTTGCAAAAGCCAAGCTTCTGAAGCAATTTTCAGGAATTTAAACAATACTAATTGTTAACTGTCCAACTTAAAAAAAAAAAAAAAAAAAACACCAAACAAAACAAAACAGAAAACAAAAGCATGACTTCAGGCTTCATAAGTCTACAACCACTAAGAAGTGAATTCAAGTTGAAAGATAAATGTAAATACATTTAAAAGGTGTAATAATAGTTGCATTGTTAGACTTTTTTTTTTTTTTTCTGAGAACAGGATAGAGAGCAAAAGAGGACAATGCAAAGTTTAGGTGTAGGTGTTTTTTTCTCCTCTCATTTCATGTACTACTAAGTTCACATACTAACACACATTTCTCCTGTGTATCTCTTAAATATTCCTTCCTTTGTGTTCAAAAAATGTTTAGATGTGGCGCTTCAAGACATGGTTTAGTGGGTTTAGCCAGCATGGTGGCATCCGGTATACAGTTGGACTTTATGATCTTTGAGGTCTCTTCCAACCATAATGATTCTATGATTCCTCCCTCCCTGATAAAAGTAATTTCCTTAATGCTTTTTTGTTGTTGCTGTTGTTTAAACTTGTCTACAGTGGCAAGAAGAGTATCCAATTAAACAAAAGGAAAAATGTGTTATAATACAAACAGCAGAAATTTCCCTTTTATGCATTACAGCAGATACAGGTGACTTAACAGTAAGTACAGATGAGATGCACAGACAGGATAGAGATGAGAGAGGAAACATGTTCAACTCTGATCTTGTACGACCGCTCTGTCTTTAGAATTTATCAGCAAGACTTTTGACATTCAAACCTTTGGAAAAGCATCTTATACCACAAGTAATAGTACTATTAGACACTACTGACTAGTGCTAGTAATGAAAACAGTTTATCTGCAAACTTTCAGTCAGAAAGATGAGAATTAACACCACAGTATATCTGGTTCTTCAAAAGTGGCCTTCTCCTTGGATATTGACGTGACAAAAACCCACCTTCTGTAGCCATGCAATATCAGCCATACAAAATTGTATTTTCCTATGGATTTCTCTGAAGGATGTGAAAGAAAGCTTTTACAGCACCTCAATAAAAATGGCTCCTCAGGTGTTGTTTTGCAGGATTAGTAACACTTTTAAGCAAGCAGACTCCTAGTGTTTCGCCTTCCCACCTACCATCTGCATACAAGGCAGAAAAAACCTGTCTAAACAGCCAAAATAATTCTCCCTACCTGCTTACATTAAAAAACAAAAGCTGGGCTATTAAATGCTGTACTAGATCAGCAAGCTCTCAAAGAAATAATCTACCAGCTGTTTAAAAACAGTGATTGAAAATGTACTCAAATAGTATTCTGAAAAATACAAGCCTACTAGTAAAGAAAACCCCAAGGGTAAACTAAACATTACAACACTGTTAAAACAAGCTCATGAATTAAGGACATCAAGGTATAGGGTACATACAATACTCACATATGAATCAAGATTATTCTAACTTAATTCAATAAGATCTCATTTGGTACATATTCCTTCACGTATTTGCACAGACTTAATGCATTCTAACAATGTTCATAAAACAAAACAAAACATGAAAACATGTTCTTCTCACACCTAAAATAAACTAACGCAATAAACTTTCAATTATTGGTAATAAAGGAAAGTTAACAAAATAAACTTAATTTGTTGTATCACTTTTCTTTCAATTAAAAGATACTTCACAAACAGTATAGTAAGATGCCATCTTTCACCACTGAAATGGGTATATGGCATATACCTTGTGAAATATGAGCAAGACATCATACAGCAATTTATAGTAGATGTGACTGATAGCCAAAAACATGTCTCAGAAATCTTGCAGACCTTAGTGGAAAGCTTCTTCATGTCATTTTTCAAAGTATGTATTTAATTTCCAATTCAATGACAGTGTAGGTAAATTTCTATATGCTGTTATCTTTCTATATGCACTGCTGTAACTCTCATTAAATATTACAAGTTTTTTTCCATAAAGGAAAGTAGCTTGCAAGCTCGTTTGCTAGCAAGCTAGGGTTTGTCCCAAAATACATGGTGTCCACACAGAACTGTATCCACCATGGACATCCTCCTGCTTATTTAATCCTCGCCTCTCTGCAATGAAATCCTGACTGCTAAGAATACGATCTTTAAGCAGGTTCAATAGGACAGGTGGAGTACCCCACTTTATTTGAAGTAGGGCAGTCTAGACAGGGAAGGTTTAGTCTAGGCAATGCAAAAAGCAGCAATGGGAAGGTAAACCAGCAAGAATAGGATACAAGGACTAATAAGAAAACCAGAAAAGTGCCAGTCAGAAGAGTGCAATTGGAGGAAAAGGACCCGAAAACTAAAAGGAGAACTTGCCTTCCAGGGTGAGGTTGATACCTGGGACCGAAGGAAAACAAGTAGACTGGAAACAGGCCTGAGGAATGGAGGAAAGCAGGTGCCCATCTACCACTGCAGAAAACTATGTTCTGTGGACATAAAGCCATCGGGGTGGAGAGTTTTGTTGGGTGGACATGCCCCGAGACAAACAGTCTCATTTGTACCAAGGTGGCTCAGGTACCAGAGGCAGTAGCATTGCCCAGAGATTAACACACTCAGTGTCCCAAAACACTGAAGTCGGACAGATTGCCTTTGCACCAGTTAGGTACGCTGCTTTCAATTTTCCAGCAAGCTATCTTAGGTATTTCTGCAAAGTAAGGCAATGCACTATACATTGTAGATGCATCTTCTACTCCAAGATATTCTTGGACTGACAATTTATGATTTTTGGCAGCCTAGGCTATTTTCAAAACACTGATATTAAGATGAAGGCCACTGCAACTTTCTCCAAATCTATTAGTCCACTCTTTTGTGTGTATATATTTAATCCTCCAAAAACTAGATAAAAAGACTGCTTACCTGGCCTGCAACTCCAGTGTTCGCTCTTTTCCAGACACTTGAAAAGTGTGTGGATATTCTTCATTATGAGTTTCTATAATCTTCATACCATCTATGCCAACTCTGGTTCGAACAGAGAACTTTGATCCTACCAGGCTGAATTTAGGGACGCAGTAGAGCAACATATTATTAAACTGGGAAAAAATAAACACATGGCTTTGTGTTAACAAAACCACAGATACAGCCACAGTTTCTACTGAAAGCTGGACAATATTGCAAAGCGAGACTTAGTAGGTGAGAAAGCAGGTTCTTTCCTACTCAGTTGATATACAAGAAGACCAAAGCTCTAGTGCAAGACAATTGCTTTTTCTTATTTGTTTAGAAATCAGATTACAGGATAGCTTCAGTGGGTATAAGAATAATTGCTCTGTATATGCAGCAGTCTTCATAGCATTTATTATCAACTATACTCAAACTGGATATTTTATACCATTGTAAAGCTTCTGTTAGAAAAACCCATTCTTGTGCCTCAATTTTGCAAAACCTACTCTAAACTGCAGAATAAGAACTCTTTTCTTCAGTGTATACACTTATATTTACCCTGTACCAAAACCATTTGATTTTGTAGAAGTTGTAACAAATGTTATTTGAGGACATTGTTTGTGTTTTCTCCAAGACAGAAGAATATTTCTTAAGAGGTTTTATTCACTGAAACCCTCAGTATCACAGGAAAAAAACCCCAAAACATGAGCAGGACAAAGATGTACTCCTTTATTAAAGATTAGAACTTTAAATAATGTTTAAATGTCTAAAGCCCCAGCCTTGAAGTACAGTTATTAAATCAGATCTATAGTGTTTAATTTTCTTACATTTTTCTCTAAATTTATTATTAAAAAGAGATACTCACTTCAGTTAAATCCTATTTCACAGAAATCCTGTCTACCCTACTGCCTAGTCTGTATCACAGATACAGTACATTTGAATTTGTCACCTCTCATATGAAGTGCACATCATTTTAATCAGCTGCCTAGCCTATTTGAGGTCTGACTATTGAATGATTCCTCCTTTTGTTTGAAGCACAGATAAGCAGGTATTGTGCCTCAACAACCCATTACTAGTCTTTATTAACCAGAAGACATGCAACACCAGAGGCCCATAAGCAAAAAAGTATTAGCAATTTTTAATGCATGGGAAGCAGTGAACTACATTAAACCTTTTCCAAGGGAGTTGTAAGGGAGCACAGCTGTAGTTAGTTCCAAGACAGGACATAGGCACCTGACAAGAGGATGGCCTGCCACAATAACAAGCTCCCACAGGACCATAAGACTTACTGGGACCTCAACACACAATCTATCAGGACTAAAATCCTAAGCTTTTACATTTCAGTTTCATAAGAATGTCAAAGTTCTCATGCTCTGGGACCTGCATTTATAATCAGCAGCCACTTATTTAAAAGAGAGTTGCTGGACACCGGTATCATTTTCTTTAAAACCATGTATTCTGTCCTAAATGGTGTTTTCAAGCCTTTCTGTAAGCAGTAGAAGGTTTACTCATGCTCTAATATCACTAATGGAAAGGCACTGACATCAGCTAAAGAGGATTTTGCTGTCTCTTTGGTAGTGCTTTCAAGTCTAGAAAGGTATACAGCCACTCCTGCAAAGACAGGCCACCATACTTACTAGGAAAAGATAACGTTCTTGAGCAGATGTATTGCGAGCAGCGAGTTTAAGGATCTGTCCTTCTTTTATCAGTTCATTTGAAGGGTTCACAATGTCTTCCTCTTCTCCCAGCATCTCATATATCTCTAACAATTTCTTTAGATTCTCCTTTACAGTGAAAATACAGTTATAAAACTTATTAATTAAAAGCACAGACGTTTAAGCATATTTAAATGAAAGGATGGGAGCTTGCGTAAGTCTGGAGAATGTTAGCTGTGAAAAACATATATATACCTGGTATGTATGGTCAGCCATACAGACTAATTAACTTAGTTGATACAGTAACAAGTACTTTTAGAAATGTTATCTCCTCGGTAATTCTGAAAATGTAGTTATACATACAGCCTGCATTATTTCTTGTCCAAAATATTTCACACACTTAATGAACTACCTATCATGCCAGCCCAATATGGGAGAGAAACAGTAAATACTCTCAAGCATTATCCTTCCACTGACAGAAACAGATGAAACAAGGTCGAGTGCAGTGTAGCATCAGCTCTCTGAGCAAGGAGAGGAACCCAGTCCGTCTCATTTTCCACTCGGCAGAATTCGGTGCAATGCCAGATTTTGTCTATTATTCCCAGGAGCTGTATAAATACACCAAGTAGGAGCAGTAACTTGGACCCAGGAAACTCATTTTTGCCATTTGAGGGAAGATTTGCAATTCACACTCCTAGCTTCACCAAATACTCAAATATAGTATTTTAAAATGCGAACAGGAAAACAAAGATCATTTACCATTTTTCTTATTGCACTATTTGAGTGACTTGCTGCAGTGGATATAATTTCCAGGGATTCTAGACAGAAGAAAAAGAAAAAAGTAAAGCCAAAAAGCTGCAGTTTTACATATTTATCTATTACTTAAGAAAAAAAAAAAAAAGGATCACTCTACAAAATTGTTTATAATTTTTATGTAAATTACACACTACAATAAATTTCTTAAGTTATCAATAAAAAAATAACCAAAGTAAAGTGGAAAGCATAAGAAAGTCAGCTACCAAGTAGAAATTAAAATCTGGAAAGATCAGAAGAGAATTATTGCAGATTATTTTAGAGCTTCAGCACTTAGAATCATGTTTGCTGTGACATGGAGAGTCATGGTTCTCTCCTATCTTTTCTCGAAGTAGTCCAGAATGTCAAACTATATTTTTAGTTGAAACAGCTCATATTACAAATACTTACAGTAACAGTACCAACAATGAAATATTTCAAAAAATTATCTGACAAGTAATTTTGAACAATTTGTGGAAATATCTTGAACTGTGTAAATACAGAGAGCAATAAATTTTAAAATGGGATGTTCTTCTTCCCTACAGGAGCTTAAAAATACAATAATGAGTCTAACTCTTACTTTTTTACAAATAAGAGACATACATTCCAAATGTGCATAAAGCAAACCAAAATGCTGACAAAAAAGAAAAAAAAACCCACACAAAACAAAAAACCAAAAAACCATGAAAGAAAAACCACCACAACCCCTGATTATCCACAAAGCAAACAAATCAAAACCTGTGTGCTATTCCAAAACTAAGCAAAACATATGTGCTCCATGAGAATACTAAAGGCTTTACAGTTTTTACATTAACTTCATCCACTGTTCAAACAGATTTTTTCCAAAGAATCCTACAATTCCACTGAAGAAATTCTATTGTTCTTTTCAGAGGGACTTTGCTCCTTCACTTTATTTTTCCTGAAAATACCTTTAATTTACAGTATCCTCTTACTACTCTCTTATTACAGCTCTTTTAATGGCTAGAAGAAACTTACTTTCGGCATCTTTCCAGTCTAGAGAATCCTGAGGCAATTTCCTTAAGTAGTCCTTTAGAAGCATCTCGTAGCGTGGAATGCGTTGTACTGGTTCTAGCATGTGATGTTGCAATGTCAAATTTCCACAGACTTTTTCCTTCTAAAAAATTGTAAACATATTTCAACATAGTAGGCAAAAATGTTATTAGGATATAGTAAAATAACAGTTGTGATTGTTAAAACATAAATAATGTATTTTGAAATATGCATGATAGACCTTCTGAAAGAAAATAGAATTACTTTGCCAAACCAAATAATTACAAATTCTTTCCCAAAAATAATTTTAACAAGAGTTTTCTCAGTATCCAGTAGAATTCACAAATAAAAGTCCTAAAAAAAAACCTCCCAAACTCCAGACTATTTTAACTTAGCTTTGTAATAACTCAGAGAAAAGGATTACAACTGATTAATCAGAACAGTTCAAGACCACATATTAGAAAACAATTCTTAAAATATACCTTTATAGCCCATTTATCTATCTGAGAAAGGAATGCTTTCTTTGAGTTTCATTCATAATGTAACCCCCCTCAGAAGTGTTTTAAGATGCATATTCATTTCCATAACCTTAGCTGCAATTAAAAGATTACAATAAAATACACATAGTTGTCTTCCCTGCCTTAGAATCACAAGACCCTATACAGCAGTAAAATTTAAGCAGAAATACCTTACCCTGTTTCTAGCTGCTCAGTCTGCAGCAGGGACACATACGTGCCAATTTACAGAGAAACCTACGGGGAGCACCAGAGGGCATAAAATGCACCTTTGAAAAGAATGGTGCATTGTTTAACTGTTCAGTTTTCTTTACCTTTTGTGGCTCAGCATTTAGAACTATATACTTACAAAGCATAGTGCTCTGCATAACAGCACTGGTGTGAGCCAAAAGAGTACTTATGGATTCAGCGCAAGGATCTACAGTTGCACTGACATGTCACTTTATCCTAAAACAGTATTTACGTTTGGTACCTATGACAAAAAGTAGTATTTTTTTATTCTTCTCATATTTCAACCTTTCTACTTTGGTCCTCTATGTTGCACTGGAAAGGCTGGATTTGTGTGGGTATTTGTGCACATGTGAAGGGAAAAGAAGAAACAGAATGTGGTGTGAAGTGGACAAAAACAACAACCCTTAATTCTAAGGGATCTGGTATTTCATTTTCTCTAGTCCTTTTTTCACCCACAAACCTACATATTTTTATATATGCCTGTATTACTTGGGGATCTATGTTATTCTCCCCATTACCTGAATGTCTTGAATAATGAATTTGAATTGAGGTGACCGTTCAGTCCACGTTTTCACCAATTCCATAGCGTTATCAAAATTCTTCACATACTCTCCATACATCTTGAGGAAAGGAGCTAACTTTTGCAGAATATCTCCAATTCTAGGCGTGGTAGTCCTGCAAAATAAAAGGGCAGAATATCAGAGCAAACAGGAAAGGAAAAAGGACACACGAGGTTATAAAACAGTTTCAAGCATTTAACAGAGAATCCTTCTGTTTGGAATTGCCTCATATACAGTTCCAATGTAACCATTAAAACTGACCAGTTTCCATTAACAAAAAATTTGTAACCTCTTTGATGTTGTATAAGCATTATAGGTCACGTAGAGCACTAAAGAAAGAAGAGCTATTTATAATGAAAAACTTGAGAGGTTTTGTTTATAAAGCATGATCTAATTATTTTATTTGCAATTTCTTAAAATTACATTATCTTCTTTTGCTGATACTTTACTCTTGAAATATATAATCTGTGGTTTTGTTTGAGGACTAAATCCATACTGTACACCCTCCTTTCTGTGCATTACATAAATACATGTCTTTACAATTTTTAAAAATCATTATTTATCTAAGAAATTGTATGAAGTAGAGAGAATCCCTTGGATTCCAGTCTTTTGTAAAAACTTTCCCACATCTTTCCCAATTACTGATAGCATCTTCAATAAAACAGAATAGTAAAGAAACTGATGGGGAGGCAGAAGGAAGCTACAGTCTCGATGGACACAAAGAAAGCAGAACAGCACACATGCATCTCCAAGAACTACAACAGGAAACATGTTTCACATTTCATTTTCAAGGATAGACTCAGAAACTCAGTATCTCCGGATTTCTGAAAGTCTGAAATCAATGTTGAGTCAGTGGTCTAAAGTGAAGCAATCTACTGCAATTACTTCAGCAGTCTACTCCAACACACCACTTCTTCAAGAGAAAAGCTATGCAGAAGAAAAAAGTTACTTGAATAGTGAATATTGCCAGGACTGGCAAAGGCTAGTCCAGCTCCAGCTGCTCCCGCAGGGGCAGAAGGTACCTGTGTAAGACCTGGCAGAGGTCTGAGCTACTGCTGGGCCTGGCAACTAGAGAAGGGGGCATGATAGGGTCGGAGGTTGGTCTCTGAAATCAGCAAGGCTCTCCACCCTTAATTAGCTTCCTATATTTGTTCAACCACTCTACATGCAAGCAGACACATACACTTTCAAAGTCAACCTAGCAATTTAAACCAAAAACCCACTCCTTTGGTTCCCTGAATGTTGTTTCCTTGGGTTATCATTTTATTGCAATGTAGCAGCATAATTTGTAACTGAAAATAAAATACAAATCATGCCAATTCCAACAGAAACGAAGGAAATATGAATACATTTCTAAAGGTCATCAGAAAAAAAAAAAACAAAGTTTTCCGTTCAATTTAACACATTAGTAATTATAAAATTTTACAATTAAAAAAAACTTAAAGCAGAAAAGACTGTGGCAATCCTTTTTATCTAAAGAAACTGGCAAAAAGAAAGAATACTTCTATTTAACTGTTTTATACCTATTACCAGACAGATGTTAAAAGAAAATGTTAAAACTTTCATAAACCAAGAGGTAAGAAGAGTTTGCTAAGCCTGCTCCTTGGATACCTACGGCTCCTCATTTACACAGGGTACTGCAATTTCACTGTCTTTGAAGATTCAAAAATTTTGAACTTTTCATGCAAAGCCCTTATTTGTCCAAAAACTCTGAGGCTGTAAAAACACAAATTATCATCATTTCAGGTAAGAAAGACAAGGTCCACATCACACAAAGAGCTCCGGAAGAATAGGAAGCACAGGGGCAGTTGTAGAAAGAACCACCTTCTGAGAACAGCATCCTCCCTTGATGGGCTTACAAGCATAGACAACTAGTTCATCTCATATTCAAACACTACACACCATGACGCAAAATATTAAATTCTACCAAATGCCATCAGGTCCAGGATAGTTACTGTTCCCTTGGACAGACAGATCAGAAAGAGAATTATTACCACGGACTCACATCAGCACTGCACTGCTGCAAAACAACAAAGATGGTATCAGTACGTGGGTCGAGAAATTGGACTTCACGTTATAACATAGGTACAGAAACACTTAGTATTTCTGTGTTATCAAAATTGTATCATGATGGTATTCACCTTAGCATTCTAAAAACTCAAACATTAAATAGCCAACTAACTAATGATGATTTGTAGCATCTCATTTAAAACTGTCATGGCTGCATGAAAACTAAGGAAAGGTCTGTAAAATCACAGCACAGCAAAGGTGACTGCAAAACAACTGCTTTCTCTTCCAATATAGAAGCTAAAAGGCATCCAACAAAATTGAAAGTTGCAGTTCCAAATCAAAACAAATCATATGAGTAGGTCAGGTCTGTAATTGCCACAGATTCCAAAACTGTGTTGAAAGAGTAAAAGAATTTCTTCACCAACCCACCTCTACTCTACCCACCCCTCCCAAAGGCTATCACACTGCGTTCTTATGTTCTTCCCCAGGTCATCCTCAGGTACAAAAGACAGAGTTAGATAAGTATTTTGTTTGATGTGGGATCACTGTTATGCTCTTTTCATGTGAAATACATTGCAACAAGGCTGGTTCCAGTGTTTTCAAGCCATATGTTGTAAACCAGATATTCAGCTCCAGCTGTTGCTCAACTCATTCAAAACGCAACTACCAGACAATTTCATTTCTACCCGATAAGCTTAGAGTCAACAGTGCCTTTTCTTTTAAGAAAGGCCTCTGATCTGCTTTCCCAGTTGCAAAACTATATATTTTTACCTTAAGTTTTCAACACAAACCACAACTCAGGGAAAGTGTCAGAAATTTTTATCCAATTATTTTTATTGGAAGCCAAAGAATAATAGAAGTGCATAAACCTACCAATAGAATATACTTAAGTATTTTCTATGTCTAATTAGGGGAACTGCTGAGGAAAGTGAACTCTGTATCTGGCAGAAGCTGTTGTGCCAGACAATTTCAGAGACAGGTGATGGGGAGAGAAAGTTACCCCAGATTTTTCTTTCAGCAATGATAAGAAACTCTCTTCAACTGAACCCTTTCTTCTAACTCCTCCTAAAAGCGTAACATTTTAAGGACCTTTAAACAGGCTGTGTCAGGTACAGCACAAAGGTTGTTTCCAAGCAATGTAGGAAAGGTAATATCCTTATGATGTTGTTTTTTAGTTTTGCACCAGTAGTCAAAGCTCAACTGCAAAAGCACTTTTCAACCTTTGAAGCTATATAATTATATACACAATATTAGTGAACAATTTAGCATTTTGCAAATATGTAAGCTAGGGCAACCCATCTGTGCTCTATAAAGCATCTGGAGAAAAATTCTGAGTACGTAACAACTTTCATTTCAAATACATACAGCACTGACATCATGTAGTGTAAGCTGCTTTTTAAGTATCATTACAGTAAGTTAAACTCCACTTCTCATGAATATGCACTCTATTTTAACCCAGGCATTTGTATTTCCTATCAGATTTTTTCAGTTGATTAGAAGAAAAGGGTGAGTGTATACTTTACACAGTAATTCTGCAAGGAATGTAAGTTAACGTGTAAGCTTTCCTATATTTCATGATACTTACATTTTATTTACTTTCTTGCATTATAGACTATACAGGGCTACCATGTGTTTGTGCATGGTAACTATTCTATTTTAAAGAATCACCATAATTACATAAAAAGAGATGAAAAATACACGGCTATATTAGTATCTCCAGAATCACATATGTCAAGGTACGATAAAGATACTACAGGATCTTTACATGGACATTACAGAGTATATTTACACTTCAGCTATCCTTCTTGCTTGCTCCAAATAGGAATCAATAAAAGCTGGATGAAATGGTCCCAAAATACACCTGACATGGATTTTTATTTCAAACAGAAAACCAAAACACAGAAAACCAAGAGTGTATCCCACCTTACTACAGAAAGCAATAACGAAAGGTTACTGTGCTACAAGGGTAGTACAAAACACATCCATGTTATTTATCTCGATTTTGTATTCTGTACAATGAATTCACCAGGTAGCACACAATTTCAGTCTGAACCCCTAATTCAGCAATACATTTAATCATGAGTAATCTTGCTGGCTTCAGTGAGATACACGTCCTTTATTTTGAGCAAATGATGCAAGTCCTCTACTGAGTCAGATCCTGACGAAGAGTGGAAAAGCAGATGTTTTCCTACCCACAGTACTTCCTAGGCCTGGAGCACTTAATTATGAAGGTTCCTTCCCTACCTCAACCCTGTGACAGAGTTTCTACAGACATAGTTTTAGTAGCGTATTAACCAGTGAATCGCCTCTTACCATTCTTGCATTCTTTTCTCAAGTTCTGGAAGTAAGAATTTACTGTGGAAGGCATTTATCGATGAAATGTTAGAAAAGATTTTGTTAATCACTTCAGCTGGAAATGAACCTCTGTTGGCTTCCTCAAGGAGTCTGGAATAGAATACCTGCAATACAGAAAGACAGCCCCAAACCTATCAGCCTGTTATCTTTAATCAATGGAAGACCACCTATCCACCCCTCCTACACCAACTGAGGCAAGATTAGCATCTCAGTAATACAGACAGGTAATGACAAACTCATTTATTGTCTTTCCCCCATCAGAAGTTAAAAGCTTCACCTCCTCTTACACCCTACTTTTTTTCTTGTGAGCCAGGAAAGCAGTGTAGGCGGAGCAGACATAAGGAAAGCCAAACTGAAGTAGTGCCATTTTGGATCAACTCCAGACATCCTGTCTGTTTTAACAGCTAGATCATCTCAGCTTTCACAGTCTTCAAGTCGTATTTTCCACTCTTGCTTTCTTTTCAATTAGTGTGATGTCTGATCATCATTAGCTCAATCACTCTCCTTGTGTACTGTATCCCCTTATCCTTTTGAAATCAAAGAGCTGGCAGACTATGAGTGGTCCCAACGTACCATTTGAAGTCCAAAACAGGCCCAGTTCTGATTGGACTCTGCTATAGTTTCTTTTAAAAAAATATATTCTTTCTCCATCAGCAGGTTCTACCTGACTAGATGCAGCTACAAAACGGCTAGAGACGTGTGCAGGTGCTAATGCGGACATCACATACAACAGTGTCTATGGTGAGCTACAGTCCCTCTGTCTCCCTCTCCCATGCCTGAACAGGCTGCATCTCCCTAGAAAGGACTTCAGAATTTTGGGCAAGGGCTTGGGAAAGAAGAAAAGAGTCTGAAGAAAGGAATTTTTATAATCCCAACTGAGACAGCAAAAGTGTCTTAAAAGGAAAAAAGCCATATACTTTCACATATACTTTAAAACATGCTCACTTTGCTGCATCTCTGAGAGGACAGTTCGTTAATTCTGACAAGTTACTTTGAAGATTATAAAGGTTACACAACTTTGTAACCAAGTTTAGAAACGTAACAGTCCCTTCCCAGTCTTCTGCTTTCCTCTCATTAGTAGCAGTTGAGCAGTTGTGCTTGAAACTCATTTTTCAGAACTCTGTCCAGTTAATATTTGGAAAACAGGCATAGGAGTAACTCACTTATGATCGCATCAAGGAAAATAATTGTACATTACCCATCAGTAAAACCTATGAATGAAGCAAACATTTTCCTTTTTTATTTTTAAACTTCTGTAATTCAAAGCTCTTTTTTTCTGCAATATTTTGTCTTTTAAAACACACCATATATCCATCCCAGTGTGGGTCTGCTAGGTAAATCCACTTTTATAAGGACAATTACTTAGATCCCTAAGCAGCCTGAATAATTATTATATCAGTCGAGACTTTTTACTTTTCATCAACTGTTTTTACAAGACTTATGCATTAGATCTGAGAAATTTAAACAGAAATGTCTGAGAAAAATATCATGGAGTAAGGCAATGCAAACCTATAGGTATCCAGGTAAAATGGATGTAAGTGTTACGTGAGAAAGTAAACAAGACTGAAAAAGGAAAATACTCAAGAACTACAGACTTTCACATTTAAGAAACATCAGTTTGATTCTACAGAGCACAAGAATTCAACCCTTTCCTTGCAAGAAGAGTAATTCATGTTCATTTCCATAGGATTTCTTCTAAATGTATAGTGGGAAAATAGAGGATATACAATTTAGAATGGGCATCTTCCCAGGTTCTTTGGCACTAAAGAAAAATTCTGATCAGGCGGCTCAAATTTGAAAGATTTAGTAATTTTCTAGTGGGTGGGTGATTTCAGTATTATAAAATGATACCCTTCTCCATTTCACCAGAAGCCAAGAAATGGTTATCCATCCTATTTGTTGGAAGGGCTACCAGTACGCACTACTATCGCTTATAGTGACATCTACACACACAAAACATATTGCATTAATATCCACAAAATACTAATACTTTTAAAAATGTACTGTTCTTAAAATAGAAACATAGGTAAAGTTATGTGGCGAGAGCAAATGACTGACTGGAAAAGCCAGCAAAATGTGAAAAACATACCACCTCTTATATAATTTATATACACACTTACGCATAGCCATTCAAGTGAATTCAAGGCATGACAATAAAAACAAATTCAAGAAAAATGTACCCCATCTAAGAGGTCAAGTCGGCTAACGTAGGCTTTTTCTGTTTGCAGAAGTTCACTGGCAATTTTGTGACGTTTCTGTTCATCTGTTTCCTGGAGGAAAATAAGAAGAGCTCTTAGGATACTGGAGGAAACGTAATTTAATTCTAAAAAAAAAAAAAGTTGAAGAGACATATGATTACCTTACAGTCCAAAAGGCAACTGAAATCAAATTTTTCACATTTAGTAATAGACACCCCATTTTGAAAAATATAAACTTTCCAGCAGTTTAATCAACAAATAGAAAAGTCAGAACAGGATAAAAATCAGTCGAACTGCAGAGCAAAACTCAAAGCCTAAAACATTTAATATTTCCCAGTTTGTATACGGATCTTTGCCAAAGCACCAACTCCCTACTTAGCAGATCAGCTCACATCCTGGTAATCGAGTACCACTGACCTTTCAGAGCTGGAAGAACTGATTTGCAGAGTAAGAGGGAACAGATGGGATTAGTCTGTGTTCGCCCCCGCCCCCGTTTCAAAAGTTATTTGAACTGCATGTTCTTTGCATGACAGAATTATTGAAAAATACCGTACAAAATGTTTTATGTTCATCAATACACTCATTGCTGATTAATTGTTGACTGCAATTAGAGGACTCCTTTGCTAGGTCTTTACATAAGTCTCTTGTATTTCTGAGGGGAAGTTTTCACTTTAAAGTCTTTCATTTCACAAAATATATTTTTGATTCTTCTGCTTAACAGAAATTAAAGCATTCGTTCAAATATCAATATTAAACTAAATACATTAGAAAATAAAATTATGAGCTGCTATGAGAAGTTACTTCAAAACAAATAATGAAAGCAAACCCTTCTAAAATATTGAAACACTAGGGAAATGCCCGATCCTCACAAGTGACAGATCCAACAAAATGACACTTCCATTACAAGATTTTTCTTCCACATTTAGTGCTAGCACTGAAAAGTGTTCACATCTACTGACATCTGAACCTTTCCCAAGTAAATGGCAGTCTTACCACGGCGCTTATGGGGAAGTGTTAATTTTCTAGACAAACCGTAGAAAATCATAAAGAAATAAAAGGAGAGCTCAAAAGAGTTATTTCTGATTTCAAATCACATATTGCTTTCCACAAAAGTACAATAAACATTTGCAAGTACATTTATAAAGATAGTTTGCAGAATAGTGAATGCCAAAGTACAGTCTTTTCATTTAAAGGACTTCAGTGGCTTTTTTTCCCTTTTCAGTATTCAATAAGTACTCCAAATTTGAACACATTTCAATTCTAATCTGCAGTGTTAACAGTCACACTGCTACACGGCAAGCCTCCTCCCTAAATACAGGCTTTCAATACTGACTTCAAAGCTGTTCATTAAATCTGTTTAAATCAGCATAGCAACCACAGTAACCTACAGAACAGCATTTTAAGTGCTTTCAAGAGTCATTGCAGGGAGCTGGAGGATTAGCTATTACAGATACAGCATGCCATTTAGCGCAGCCATTTACAAGGAATCTCACACGTAGACTTGAGGCACAAAACCATGGAGGTTACTGGTTCCTCAGCAATTTTATTTTGTTTTTTTCCTCCCCAAAACCCCACTTTCTCCCTGAAGCACTACTACAGAACCAATCTGCAGTTTTCAGAAGATTACTTGAACTAATTAAGAGAGAAAAAAATCACACATAGCAGACTCAAAAATATCACACAAAACAAGCAATTCAGAAAAAACATTTAATCCTCACTCCTAAATAGGGAAAAACCCTCTTACTCTCTCACTATGCTCTGATCCCAGCTTTCCCATCCTCTCAGTATCAACCTTACATCTTCCTAATTCTTGAACCTCAGTTTCATTTCTACATCAATTGCACTACCTGACATGGGAATCTTCTACGTAGGGAAAAAACACACACTACAGATGAGTTATCTTTTAATCATAGTGGCATGTTCTTATTCCAGTGTAAGAACACCCTCCTACAGGGTTAGATCAGTGCAAAAGTAACACAAAACTGTATTGCTACTTTTCTTTTAGGGAAGTCCTCAGTTTCTCACCTCACCATCTCAGTATTTGCCCATAACTTACATGAACTCCCAGTTGTTTTTTCTGCTACTAGCTCCGTCCTCCTCCCTATTCATTCACCCACTTCAGTGTCTTATCTAGTATCCGATCTCAAGAAAAGCACCTGGTTTCCACGAGGTCACGCCAGCTTCCTTCCTGTTGGAAACAACAGGTCACAGGCTGTTTTGGTAGTAGTGGCATCCATCTTCTGTGAAGCTTTTCTTGATGGAAGTGGCAGCCATTTGTCCTGAGCACACAAGGTGAACTGGGACCAGATGCATGGGTGGACACATGGGTCCTGGCAGCACCATGCTACACAGCAAGGCACGCTTGGTGGAAAGACTCACCATTGCTCAAAGCCAGTGGCGCAAGTGTCTGTGTGTGTATATATATATTTATATATTT